ACAGATCGCTTTGATGTGCGATAGATATTATAATTAAAAACGTGAACTACCACTGGCTGTTTGCCTTAACTTAACCTTCAGGTTCACAGTGGTAAGGCCAACCCAAAGCACAACTGCTTAAAAAAATATATATTCCTGGCTGCGGGCTACAATATCAGTCTCCTGAGCCCCTCCTCACAGCACATGGTGTCAGCAAGTCAAAGACAACTTCCTCAGTTGCTCCAGACAGCAAATCTCACACCAGGTTTTCATAGCTCCAATGTAAAGCAGATTCCCCAGGTCTCCAAACGCTACTGTTGTTTGAAGTAAATATTGACAACTATGGATCTGTGACGGTTGGGGGTTGGGCGAGAGGGATAGCGATGGAGAGGTTTGAGACTGGGTAGATGGAATAAGCAAGCTGACATCTATTACTCATTGAGCCCAGCTCAGTACGTCAGTGCCTTGAGACGTCCTCCCGATGTGAAAGGCGTTTTACAAATGTAATTTGTTGTTGTTATGTATGTGGCTTGATACGCCTTTGCTCCTTTGAAGATTGTTGGACCACCAGAAATGTCAAAGGATTGTTATATGTCTAATATAATAATACATATAATAATGCTTTCGTTTGATGCAGCGCCTTATCACCTCTTTCGCACGTCTCAAAGCGCTTCACAGAATATACTGTTAAAGTTAATTGACTGTATATTTTGTGGGTGAAACGCGACAGCCAATTGTGCACAGCAGCGGCCCGCAAACAGTCGTGGATTGAGTGACCAAATTCTTATTATTCATTTATTATTGTTTTTGAAGGAATTTTTATCCCCAGAAATCGATTTGCCAAATGAATTAACAACCGGGTTCCTACTTACTGATACGTAAACAGAGGGGTATGGAGTAAGGAAATTTGCCTAAGGTATTGCCCTGCCCGGGAATAGAACCCCAGGTCCTCTCGCTTGCGAGGCGAGTGCTCTAAGCAATACGCTACAGGACTCGTTCTGCTTAATGTTATTAAAAGAACCAATTGCTCAATTGCTTAATATTAAAGTCTAACTGGATTTGGGAACTATAAATCAGGCTTCCCATTCCACATTTGCTCTTTAAGCTGCTGGAAATGATATTGCTTCACTTCCAGGAGTTTAAACACGGCATAAATCAGCAAAGTCCAACACGTTAAATGCAGACTAATTCAGCAATAGCTCATCTCGCAGGGTGAATAAATTGCAGATTGTCGGAGCCGCCTTATATTTGCGGGGGTTTATCCGGTTTTGTGTGACTCGCAAGACCCTTCATCAGATAACAGACTCTCCGAAAAGGACAGTAGATCAGTAAATGAGAGGCTGCTGTTGCAATGGCAAAGCTGGGTGAGTATGGATAAAGTTGACAATAAGTGACTAGCTAGAATCAGAGTGTATTATATACAACCTGTGAACAGCGAGTGAGGCGACACAAACCAGGAATATCCCCGACATCCATAGACCTCCAGAACAGGAGCTTTGTGGCTTTTCTATGAGCCATGTTTATAATAAAGCAGTAGGAGGCCATTCAGCCTTCGAGCCTGTTCTGTCAGTTTATTCATTGCAGATCTTTTCATCCCATTTCCCCCACTCTTTCCCCATATTCACAATAATAATCATAATCCTTGCATTTGATATAGCGCCCTATCATGTTGTTGAGGCGTCTCAAAGCGCTTCACAGAACATATTGTAAAGTGGATTGACTGTATTTTTTGTGCGCGAAGCATGGCAGCCAATTGCGCGAAACAGTCGTGGATCGAGTGACCCCCATTTTTATTTTTGGAGGGATTATTACCTCCAGAAAGCGATCCGCCAATTAACTAAGAAGATTGGTTTAGATGAAGAAGGCCCTTCAGTCTATTTGATTTCATCATGCTGTTCACAAAATATCCACCCTGCCATCATACCATCACAGCATCAATCTGTTTTTTTTAAATGAATCCAGTGTCCTGGCCTCAACCATTCTTCCTGGCACCATGTTCCAGTCGTTAACTAGTCTTCGGGTAGAGAAAAAACTTCTAGTGTCTGTCCTGAAATTGCCGTTTGCAACTCTAAACTGGTGATCTTTTGGTTTTACTGTCTTGATGCATCCCAAAGTACCGTTCTGGTTTTTTTCAACCCTATTTAACATTTTATACACCTTTTTAGGGTCCCTTTGAGACATCTGTTTCGAAGACTGAAGAGCCTGAGCTTGTCTAATCGTTGCTCATGGTTCAATTCCTTTAACGCTGAGGATAATGCCAATTTCCCTCCTCTGCACTGCCTTTAGGCCATGAGCTGCCCCTCCCCATATGTTGTGGTGACCAGAACTGTATTCAATGCAACGAGCCCTGAATGCTGTTTCTTAATACCCCTCAGACTCTTTAATACTCTTCTCGATCACACCTGAGAGTACTCTTTGCGCTGGTCAGCAAACAAGCCTACATCCTTTACGTTGCCTCATTTGTTACTGCTGAATATTTGACTTTAATTGGATTATTTTTCTCACTCTTTTTTAAAATTCAATTTGTTTTGCTGTTTAAAAAGTTAACTTTTCTTTCTCCTCTTTAAGTTCTCTTCCGTGCCACACAGAATGCAGACGTCCTTATCCCAATCCTCTGCCAGACCCTGGGAGGGAAGGGATGGGAGAGTGGACCTGGGATAAATTTCCTCTTTAATCCAACTCCTCTGTTCTTTCCTAAGTGCATCACCAGAGACATGTCTTTCGTCTCCCAGACTACACAGCTGTGAGAGACAGCTCAGTCCATAATAATCATAATCATAATCCTTACATTTGATATAGCGCCTTATCACATCTTCGAGACGTCTCAAAGCGCTTCACAGGATATACTGTACAGTGAATTGACTGTACATCTTGTGGGCGAAACGCGGCAGCCAATTGCGCACAGCAGCGTCCCACAAACAGTTGTGGATTGAGTGACCAAATTATTATTTTTTGAAGGGATTATTACCCCCGGAAAAGCGATCCGCCAATCAACTAACAGCCGGGTTGCTACTTGCTGCTATGTAAACAGAGGCGTGTAAACCGAGGCAGAGTAAGGAAACTTGCCCAACGTCTCGCTCTGAACGGGAATCAAACCCAGGTCCTCTTGCTTTGCGAGGCGAGTGCTCTAACCACTAAACTACAGGAGTCCCATAAATCCATGGGAGATTATGGCAGTGGGATTCTGCGGAGTCCTGTAGCTCAGTGGTTAGAGCACTCGCTTTGCAAGTGAGAGACCTGAGTTCAATTCCAGGCAGAGGGCGAAACCTTGGGCAAGTTTCCTTACTCCACACAGCGCCTAATAATAATCCCTCCAAAAAACCAAAAACAATAATAAATTGGTCATTTTCAATCCATGACTGTTTGTGGGACATTGCTGTGCGCAATTGGCTGCCGCGTTCGCCCACAAATATACAGTCAATTCACTTTACAGTGTGTTCTGTGAAGCGCTTTGGGACGTCCTCTCGACGTGAAAAGCGCTATATCAAATGCAAGGATTATTATTATTATTATTCACCCAAGGCATTGAACCAGCTGCATTTGGTCGTATTCTGCCGTAGAAAATGCTAATTGAGAGGTGTGGGTGTCCGCGTGGCTCAGTCGGTAGCACTCTTGCCTCTGAGTCAGAAGATTGTGGGTTCAAGCCCCACATAGGGACAACTGTGGGCAAACCTGTGAAGGAATGTGAAGCCAAATAACAGGTCATTGTTGTAAATTACTGCTGCAAATTGGTCATTGAAGCCTGACCTATTTCACGGCACAAATTATACACTACAGTAACGCTGTCTGTGTAATCTTAGCCATAAATAAAGCCGGTGTCAAGTGCAATACTCTCTTAAGTTTCTGGCCTGATTAGCTAACGGAAAGTTACAAGCAATGAAGTAGGTGGAGTTGGGGGGGGCAGATCCTGATGGACAGGTTCTGCGCACAGTTATAGTTGCTCTTTGGCACTTCAAGGGGCTTTGCAACGCTCAGTTCAAAAGAGCAGCAACGCAATGCGTGAAACAAAAACAGGCTTAAGTACAAACTTTGTTCCGAAGGTGTGGTGCCGGGTGGTCCAACTGGCAGCCCGCGGGCCGATTTCAACCCCTCCCCCACTCCATTACATCTGGCACACCCGCTCCCTCCCTCCCTCCCTCCATAACCCGTAAATGGCGTGTCACGTTTCTGGAAGGGAAACACAAAACTCTTGCTCACTCGGCTCCGCCTGCAGACGCTTCTCAAACGGGGCAAACGGCCAAGAGGTTGGACCACTTTGCTGTAGTGGATAGAGCTGTGGCTCTCAGACCTGGAACTCACTGGGTTTAACACTGTGAGGGCGGGGAGCTGTTACTGTCAATGAGCTAACATTGTGGTGGGGTGGGTGGGGGGGGGGCTAACACTGTGTGACTGAGCTAACACTGTGAGAGGAGGCTATTAGTGTTGTGGAGACCTGTAGCTCAGTGGTTAGAGCACTCGCCTTGCAAGCGAGACACCTGGGTTCGATTCCAGGCAGAGGGCGAAACCTTGGGCAAGTTTCCTTACTCCACACAGAGCCTAATAATAATCCCTCCAAAAATCAAAACAATAATTAATTGGTCATTTTCAATCCATGACTGTTTGTGGGACATTGCTGCGCGCAATTGGCTGCCGCGTTTCTCCCACAAATATACGGTCAATTCACTTTACAGCATATTCTGTGAAGCGCTTTGAGACGTCTAGAAGATGTGCAAAGCGCTGTATCAAATGCAAGGATTATTATTGCTGTGTGACTGAGCTATTACCGTGTGACTGAGCTAACACTGTGAGGGGGGGCTATTATTACTGTGTGAGTGAGCTAGCACTGTGAGGGGGGTTGAGTAAGCTAATACAGTGAGTGCTATTGAGGTCCTGTGTTTCTTTGTGGTTGTGGCCAGCAATGGCCCTGTGTATGAAGGTGAATGAGCTGAGCTGTTGGTCAGACAGTGTATTGTGCATTGCTTGTGCTGTCTCACTGCAGTCAAGTGTTCAAACTAACCTATTGCGCTTTTTGTGTGTTCCAGTGACAATTTCCACCAGCACGTATTTCGATGGTCTCCTCGTGACAGGTCTCTACACGTCCACCAGTGTCCAAGCCCCGCAAACGATCAGCAATGCTGGCTCACTTGGTCTTGGTAAGTCTTAATAATAATAATAATAATAATCTTTGCATTTGATATGACGCCTTAAATGCTCCTGGACACTACCCCATGTGAAGGACACGATATAAACACAAGTTGTTGTTGTTGACATCTCAAAGCACTTCACAGAATATAGTGTAAAGTGGGTTGACAGTGTCAATAGCCTTCAAGACATCTGAAACCCAAAGTGTTTGACAGTCTCAGCCTGGAGCCCTTGCTGTTAAAATTTTAAATTTGGAAACGGTTTCTTTGAAAACAACCTTGCAAAAGCCTTCAGTTAGCAAATTCGAACTGAGTTTAAGAATTTTCCTAAATTCTGCACAATCTTACATTTCAAGATGATGTCCTCAAGGCCAAGACTACGAGAAATTTCGGTCCTTTGTACTCTATATCAAGTATCCCCAAAACCTGAACCTTGATGAGCCAAATAGACTCTTTTTTTCCAAATAAAAGAGTCACTCTCACCCCTAATTTCCTGCTTTTTCTTTACATGATGTCTAAGTAGACAATAAGATCCCACGACACTGTTCAAAAAGAGAAGAGAGTTTCTCTCTCCTGGCCAACAATCCCCCAAATAAAATTGGACACACACTCCATGGATGTTTCTGGGACATTGCTGTATGCAAATTGGCTGCCACGTTCGCCCACAAACCTTTACACTATATTCTGTGAAGCACTTTGAGACATCTCGACGAGGCACAAGGCTTAGTATTATCACCCTGCTATCGCCTGTTTCCCCAGAACCATGTTCAGTTGTTTCTTGAACACATTTCTATTCGCTTCAATGACCTTTTCTGCTAATGTATCAACTCACTGGGAGCCAGACGTTTCATTGAACTATTGTAAACAAATCCCGCGATAAAGCTGAGAAAATCAAAAAATCTATGGAAAGAGAGGAAAATTGCTTTGATCGTTCTTGCACTGTAATCCTTGAGAATTCAAGGGCATTTTCCCTGCTGTTGTTCGCAGTGAAGTACCAGTGTGGAGCACTGGTGTGTGCGCCTGTGTATGTCTAAGGTTGTGGGTAGCTGTACATGTAATTTCTGTGCACGAGTGTGTGTGTGTGCGCACAGAGACTGGGCATCTCACTATCTCTTGCATTATCAGTCGACTAATGAGATTGACGGTAGATTTGGAGATATTTCCAAGTTGCTTTGCTTTGCTTCTGGACTTAAAGGAACAGTACGGAGGTGAGAAGAGCTCACTTGTGTTAAAGACAAAATGGGGACAAGTTCTTTACAATTCTGCCACCTCCTTTAAATACTGTAATTATGTTAATCTCATGAACACAAATGGTCCAGTTTAATTTTGACGATCGCCCCAGTCCTCTGGAGGAAAGGTACATTTAAATCACTCATGGAGCGAGGAACATAATCTCCCGTCCGCAGGGAGATAATCAATTTCAGTTATTGTCGTCGGGAGGGAGAAAATAGTCTCAAATATTTTACGAGACAGAAAATGTTGGGAAAAGAGAAAGATTTAAAATTTCATTACAAAATACCTCATAAGCGAGAGGACCCAGGTTCAATTCCCGGGCAGGACGAAACCTTACTCCACACACCTCTGTTTATCTAGCAGTAAGTAGGAAGCCAGTTGTTAGTTGATTAGCGGATCGCTTTCCAGGGGTAATAATCCCTTTTTTAAAAAAAATAATAATAATAAATTGGTCACTCATTCCATGACTGTCTGTGGGACGCTGCTGTGCGCAATTGGCTGCGACGTTTCGCCCACAAAATACAGTCAATCCACTTTACAATATATTCTGTGAAGCGCTTTGAGACGTTGCAACGATGTGAAAAGGCGTTATGTCAAATGCAAGGATTAATGATTATTATTATTATTACTAGAGCAAGTCTCGGATATTTTTTCAACTGTTGTTTTGATATTTGTGTCGAGGCTAATTGACTGAACGTCTCACTCTGTTACATTGAGGTATGTCCCACATATTGAGTTCAGTAAAGGACTGTCATCCTCACATTGTAATGCAGAGCGACGCCAGTGATGCACATACCCCTGAAGGTAATTACAGTGCTTAGGAGCATTGAGGTGTTGAGATGTATTGTCCCAGTGTGACATTTCCTCTTGTTTGTGATCTATGGGCGGGAGGGAATAATCGCTCAGTCCCAACACGACAGCCAGTAATCTTACAATATAAAATGGTGGGGGGGTGGGAGGGGGGGGAATCAGTTTAGTGCTGCGCACATCTTGTGGTTAGAGCACTCGCCTTGCAAATGGGAGGACCTGGCAGGGCGAAGGATTGGGCAAGTTTCCTGATCACCGAGCAGTAAATAGGAACCCGGTTGGTTAGTCGTTTGGCGGATCGCTTTTCTGGGGGTAATAATCCCTTCAAGAAATAAATGAATAAATAAATAATAATTTTGTCACTCAATCCACTACTGTTTGTGGGACGCTCCTGTGCGCAATTGGCTGCCGCCTTTCGCCCACAAAATGCACAGTCGATTCACTTTACAGAATATTCTGTGAAGCGCTTTGAGACGTTTTGAGGACATGATAAGGTGCTATATCAAATGCAAGGATTATTATTATTATTATCACGGTGATGGGGGTGGGGGGGTGGAGGGGGGCGAGGAACAGGAGCTGAGGAAATGGTAAAGAAAGATAAACTATAGATAAAGGAGAGCAAGTGACTGCCTGGAGATTTCCACTTGAAAGGCAACGATTCATTGTTTACAATTCTCATTTTCCGAGTTAATTTGTTTGAAAACATGTCCCCCGGGGGAGCAATGAGCTCATGCTGTGAGCATCCCTCTCCCACTCACGGCGAACGAATATGTAAGGACAGCTAATCAGGCACTTGCGGGCAAATCAGGGGCTAGCGCTTTCATTAAAAAAATTAGCCTCACAAATGATTCAAGTGTGACACATGGAAGTGCCTTAGCGCACAGTCTCTATATGTAGCACAGCACCGGCTCGGGCAATGTGGCTGCTTCTGCACAGCATGAAGTCATCGTAATTAACCCAGTTCTTTAATCCATAAACCTAATTACAGTCATAGCCACAGACCCGCAGGTTTGCTTCTCCTCGGACTCTTCAGGCCACTGCGAAGGCAATCGGTCACATGTATGGGACCCACACATCAGTCTCATCTCGTTGATAATTAAAGGAGGTTGTGTGCCTTTAATGCTTCGGGAATTAGAGATCAGTTGACATTCGCTTGGTAGGGGTGAGGAGCAAATGTGTCTGTGATGCGCAATTCATTCTTCCACTGAAATCAATCAGAGTTGACAATCCTTTCTCCCGCTCCCCCCCCCCCCCCACCCACCCTCCTTCCCTTTCAAGGTTCTGTCGACTTCAAAGATACTTGTCTGGATATCTTGGCCACAAAATCTGTGGGCTGCATTTGGCGATTTTAACCATCAATGTAGGGCCTCACGTTGGTTGATGTTATTTGTAGCTCAATACTAATTTTCACTTGTTTTCGGGCCACTAATGTGGTGGCACCTTTACATGAGGGAATAGCATTATCATTATCACAGAGCTCTGCTCTCCGAGAGGTGTTAATAAGCAGCGACGTGCCCGAGATTCTGTTTGATTGTTTACAAGAGGAAATGTTTTATTTTAATGTGTAGGTATTCAGCAAAGGGTCCAGCGGAGCTCATCTGTGTTCGAGCTCCCCAAATCTGGGACTTGTTTTGACGTCCGTCCATGTGATATGAGAAGGCAATTGTTAGCCTAAATGGGAATGTATGTTACAGCAACGATTTTATTTAGTGGAGTTGTGCTAAATAGTGTTAATAATAATAATAATACTTGCATTTGATACAGCGCCTTGTCACGTTGTTGAGACATCTCAAAGCGCTTCACACGATACACTGTGAAGTGAATTGACTTGACTGTATTTTGTGAGCGAAACAGGCAGCCAATTGTGTCCCACAAACAGTCGTGCATTGTGTGACCAAATTTTTTTTTGGGGTGGGGGGGAAGAGAGATTATTACCCCCGGAAAGCAACCCGCCAATCGACTAACAATCAGGTCCAACATTTCTCAGGGTCTTAATCATAAGATCATTTTTACGAATTGTCCTAAATGTGAAGAATATTTGAAAATTATTTAAATGATCTTGGTTTTAAGGCCATTTCTCCAGAGTCCAAGTTAAGACACGTGGAAAACCGACTTCAAAATTAAGACTGAATTTAGGAATCTTTCAAAATTCTGCAACAGGCTTCAGTTTTGAGAAGAGAGGTGAATTTGGGGCCTTTGATCTGTTTTTTTAAAAAAAGTTATTTACTTCAGTAATGAGATAGTTTAATTGCTTGCACTGATAAAATTATATCTGTCATTTTAAAATGAATTTATAATTGAGTGATTGACATAGCATTACTAATACTTGCATTTAATATACTGTAGGGCCTTATGATGTTGAAATATTTCCAAGAACTTCACACAAGGTATTGATTTAAAGTTGCTGTATAAGAAAATCGGTCATCTAATCGGCAGCAGCAACAAATTGTTTTGATCTTTGGTGATTTCAGAAAATTATAATAATAATAATAATCCTTACCTTAGTATAGTGCCTTCTAGGTCAGGAGGACGTCTCAAAGCGCTTCACAGGATTTTACCGCAAAGTGCATTGAATAATAATAATAATTCTTGCATTTGATATAGCGCTTTTCACATATTCTAGACTTCTCAAAGCGCTTCACACTGTTAAAGTGACTGTATATTTGTGGGCGAAATGCGGCAGCCAATTGTACACAGCAGCGTCCCACAAACAGTCGTGGATTGAGTGACCCAATTCTTATTTTATTCTTTANTTTTTTCTTGGGGGGTTATTATCAGGCGTGTGGAGTGAGGAAACTTGTCCAAGGTTTCGCCCTGCCAGGAATCGAACCCAGATCTCTCACTTGCGAGCCGAGTTCTCTAACCATTGAGCTACAGGACTCCTGTGTGTTTTGTGGGTGCAAAACTGATATTGGATCGCTTTTCGGGGGTAATAATCCCTTCAAAAACAATTTAAAATGGGATCACTCAAT